ATTAAAGATTTTTAATTTCAGAAAAAGGAAGCTAAAAAATCCAAGCAGCAAAATAATTTGCTGCTTGCCTGGACACAAATCTGTTTTCATCAATTCCCTTACCATTTACCTCCCTCCCCTGATGACTCCAGTAAAGCAGTTCCTTACACAGATTATAGGGTTGAAATAAAACAGAATGTGTGTGTACTTAATGATTTCTTACCTTAACTATGCTGATAGGCTTTCTAGATAAGTGAAAACTTGCATACAGCAAAAACGTCAAAAAAAAGGTGAAGGCTCTGTACCTGAAACACGGAAGAGTGGTAGTGATTGAGATGAGACACATTAAGAATACATTTTAACTGTAACCTTAAATTTTGTTAGGCTATTTATAATTCACTCAGTCACTATCAATCCTATTTATAATATCACTACAATATTATAACATTAAAAAAAAATACCCCTTCTGCCTTGTCTAAACTAAACTATTTAAACTTTCTTTAAAAAAAAAAAACCTGTAATCAAAGAGAAATGTAGTACTCAGAACATGTACACATGTATTTAGAAAGCAGACAAAATGGGATGGTTATTCAGTTTATAACAAAATTAGCCACAAGTTTCTTGGGCAGCCTGCTATTCTGAGCATTTAAGATCATACTTATTTTTAACTTTTTACTTCTGTACAACTTTTCAGAGGCACACAAGCAAGGCAGAAATATAAATATTTTACCGACCTCAATGACAAAAACTCAGTGATGCTAACAAGCTATGAATAAGGTCAACGACATAAAAAACACTGGTACCAAGACTTCCTATGTCCTGGTTTATGGGAATAGCAGTGCAAGGATAAGTACTAAAGTATGAAAAACTAAAGAAAAGACTTTAGGAAGAAGATAAACATTAATTCCTGTGTCAAATTAAAAAAAAATATTTCTCTGGGGGATGAAACAGGAAGGGGAAAAGGGTATTTGGCAAGAGATAACAGGGAAAAAAGGGAGGGATGGAAAAAGACATGCTGGACAAAGGGCTCCAGTCAAGGAGGCCAACCCTCCTCGATCCTGAGGTAGTGCCTTGAGCCCTGAAGAACTACCAGTTTGTCCAGTTTCTTAAATTGTGTGAGACTTGAATCAAAAGTCACCTGAGGGGAGAGGCACTATGTGCAGTAGAAAGGTAGCACTTCTCCCCTCAGAGGACCTTTCTGGGCATGGCCTGTTGCTGTTATGTGCCGTCGAGTTGGACCTGACTCATAGTGACCCCTCCTTGGGTTTCTGAGGCAATATCACTACGGAAGTAGATTGCCCAACTTTCCTTACGAGGAGCGGCTGGTGGGTTTGAACCGCCAGTCTTCTGGTTAGCAGTCAAATGCCTTAGGCACTTTGCTACCAGAGCTCCCCCACCCCTGAGTGATGCTGGAGTTACTTATTCCAGTGTCAGCTCTAAATCTTTAATGCCTTTATTTATACCTTGCTGGAAGCTTTATGTGAATAATACAGAGAACCACAGGGGGTGCCTGCTTATCTGGCCTCAAAAAAAAAAGCTGGAGTTGGATAGATAACTTTTCCAATTTTATATATATATATATAAAGAACAAATTTAGGTGGAATAAGAGACCTAGTGGAACCCTGGGACTCAAACCTGCAACCTGCAATCTTGGGACACTTGTGCCTTAGGGAAAGGAACAAAAAACAATTTGCTAGTTCTCAGTAAATCCTTCTAAATGAATAAAGAAATGCCCTTACTCTCTGATCACTGAGGAAACTTACTGATGGCTTTTTCTAGGATTTTATACTCTCTGTAAGGCATTTGACTGCTAACCAGAAGGTTGGCAGTTCAAACCCACCAACCACTCCACCGAAGGAAGACTGGGCAATCTACTTCCATAAAGATTTACTGCCTTAGAAATGCAAAAGGGGGTCGCTAGGAGTTGGAATCAACTCGATAGCAGTGAGCTTGGTTTGGTTCATTTACTCTCCAAACCTAGGCCAACAACCAAGTATGGAAAAAGTGAGACTACAAAAAAATGAGTGTGTACTTTGTCCAAAAGCCCAAAGAACAAAGGCTGGACAGATGCAGTGAGCTGAAACCATCTATTTGACGAGGGAATGGAAGTCTCTTGATCCTTTGATTCAGCTCTCTGTTTCACTACACATTACTCCCTCATGCAGACACCCTGGGGGGGGTGCAATGGTAAATGCACTCAGCTGCTAACTGAAAGTGTGGCAGTTAGGGGCCACCCAGATGTGCCTCAGAAGAAAGGCCTGATGATCTACTCCAGGAAAAGTCAGCCATTGAAAATGCTGTGGAATTACTGAACATTTGGACTAAAGATCCTACAGAAGAATCATGGAGCCATTCTTTCTGGAGCCACTAAGGCTAGATGAACCCCCAAAACTACTGTCCTAAAATAATATTTAAACCTCAAACCAAAGATATCCCCCAAAGTCTTAAAACCAAACAATACACCTATTCCTCGCTTATCGACTTGTTATCTTGTTATCTGACATTCTGCATTTACAAGAACTTTGAAAAAGTTCTCAAGCCATGCTTCTAAGGTCCAGGCCCCACGTGGGCCATAGCTGGACCTGGGCCACTCTCCACAGGCCACCCTGAACAATATACCAGGGGCCCCAGCAATGACCAGGCCACATAAGAGACAATGGTTGACCAGCCTTGGAACACTGTCTCCCATTTGTCTGCAATGGCTCAGTCTAGCTACAGAGGGTACAGGGTGACAGTAGGACAATGTGAAGTTGGGGTTGCTACTGGCCATCAGTTTTACAGCTGTATTATTGACTATGAGGATCTGAGTTTCAGAAATACTTAGGAGCTCTGGTGGCGTAGTGCCTAAGGCATTTGACTGCTAACCAGAAAGCTGTCAGTTCAAATTCACCAGCCATTCCTCAGAAAGAAGACTAGGCAATCTACTTCCATAGAGACACTGCCTCGGAAACCGAAGGAGAAGTCATTATGAGTCAGAAATGACTCGACGGCAGTGAGTTTGGTTTTTTTGGTATAGCTAAGAAGTATTTGAAAGGATGCCTCTCCTTAAATGGGTACTTAGGCCTGCTCTCCATTCTACCCAGACAGCCCAGGAATGAGGATCTCTCTCAGTATGACCAGAAAATTTCTAAGAAGCCCTAGGGCACTATGCTACCTTGGCATTCCTCGATTGGCAAGCCTGTAAGGTTATCAGTCCTGACAGTCATTTTGCAGCTGCTTGCCTTTTTCTCCACCTGGTGGTTTTGCATGCAGTTCTCAGCAGCCCCGGCCTGGTGGAGCTTCAGACTATTCTCATGGCTGGCCCACACTAGGGGAGGCTGAGCTGCCGCCCACACCCAGGGCCTGTGAACACTGACCCACTGACACAGCAATCTGGAAGTGTCCTAGAGATAGAAGATAGGCCTCCCAATGAGGAAAACCTTTCAGCCAGGATCAGGCCAACTCTCCTTCCTCTATTTCCAAATTCTTCCTTCTTTTCTCATTTTCCACATCTTATTTCCACAGGATTTGGGGAAGGGAGGAGCCAGCAATATGAGTTTGGTGTTTCCCTTAACAATGTCTGACCACAGCTTCCCACCAGGTATGGACAAACCACAGCAGCAGCGCTCTGGGACTAGTGTTGTCCGGTAGCCACCTCAATAGCCTATCCTGGAGAGCCAGCAGACCTTTTATTTCTGTAAGACTACTCTGGGTTCTGGGGTCATGCCTAATATTCTAAACAACTCTCCTAGAGTCCTTTTCCTATTTTGTAATCATATCCTCACCTTGTTCTGTCTTCCTGTTATTTATGAAGCAAGAGTTTTAGGTGATTTTTATTTCCTTATACCCATCTACTGTTTTTACTGTTTGGTGTTACATCTAGGTTATTGGCTCCTTGTAGTTGGGAAGGGCATGTAGAAACCAAGATCTGGTGTCAGGTGTGCCACTGGGGCATTGCCATTCCCAGGTCTTCTCAATGTGTTGAGCTAGGACCTGTTATAGACACACACACATACACACACACGCACACACACACATCCATATATACATATATGTTGTTGTTGTTATGTGCCGTCGAGTCAGACCTGACTCATAGCGACCCCTCCTTGGGTTTCCAAGGTAGTATCACTACAGTAGATTGCCCCATCTTCCTTCTGAGGAGTGGCTGGTGGGTTTGAACCACCAGCCTTCTGGTTAGCAGTCAAGTGTCTTAGGCACTATGCTACCAGAGCTCCTATGTGTGTGTGTGTGTGTGTGTATTTATACATTCATTCTTATTTCTATATCTAAGGAACTCTGGTGGCATGATGGTTAAAGCATTTGGCTGCTAACCAAAAGGCTGGCTGTTTGAACCCACCAGCTGCTGCTCTGTGGCAGAAAGATGAGGCTTCAGTAAATATTTATAGCCTTGGAAATGCTATGGGGCAGTTCTACTCTGTCGTAAAAGGTCACTATGAGTCAAGATAGACTCTATGGCAATGGCTTTGGTTTTTGGTTACTTCTACATCAACCTATCTATTTATATACTAAAAGTCCAAGAGTTTACCCTGATACCTTTAATTCTAACCCAACACCACATCACTCACTATAGTCTTTTCCCTTTCTGTAACTGTGACTCCCTTCACCATCAGTGATATACTTGCCAAAAATGCATAATCTAAATAGAATCATGAAAAAATATCAGACATAACCAAAACAAAAGACATTTTATAAAATAAATGGCCTATCCCCTTAAAAAAAATGTGCAGGCCATGAAAGACAAAAAAACTGAGAACTGTTCCAGATTAAAGAAGCTAAAACTCTCATGTTTTGGTCATGTTGTTATAATGGACCAGTCCCTGGAGAAGGATATCAAGCTTGGTAAAATACAGGGTCAGCAGAAAGGGGGCAGACCCTCAACAAGATGTACTGACACAGTGGTTGTGACGATGGGCTCAAGCATAGCAAAGACTGACGATGGTGCAGGACTGGGCAGTGCTTCATTATGCTGTACATAGGGTTGCTATGAGTCAAAACTGACTTGACGTCACCTAACAACAACAACAACAAAACCAACCAGTCAACTAAAGCCAATGCGTGATCCTGGACTAGATCTTGAATGGGGAGTAAAAAGTGATAGACAACATTATTGAACATTTAATACAATTTTCAATATAGACTGTTGTCATAAATTGAATTGTGTTTCCCCAAAATTTGTGTTGACATGATTCTCATGGTTTAGAAGTTATGGAATGATGTAATGTGGTAGATATGTAATAATACTCCATGTTGTGATCTGATATGATAAGCCAATCAGGTGTAAAAGGATTAAGATTAAGGATAGGTTGTAACACCCCAAGTGCCATCACAGCTCTGATCCATGTAAAGGGAGCTTCCCTGGGGTGTGGCCTGCAGCACCTTCTATCTTATAAGAGATAAAAGGAGAGAGAAGCTAGCAGAGAGTGGGGACCTACTACTACCATGAAAGAGGAGCCAGGAGCAGAGTGTGTCCTTTGGACCCAGGATCCCTGTGCTGGGATTCTCCTAGGAACAAGAGACAAAGAGAGAAAGAAATTCTTCCCCTAGAGCTAGCACTCTAAATGTGGACTCCTAGCCTCCTAAACTGTGAGAGAATAAATTTCTGTTTGTTGAAGCCATCCATTTGTGGTATTTCTGTTACAGCAGTACAAGAAAACTAAGATAACTGTGAATTAGATAATAGTATTATTAGTTTGAAGTTTCCTGATTTTGATGACTGTGCTGTGGTTTTGTAAGATAATGCCTTCATCATAGGAAATATGCACTGAAGTATTTAGATATAAAGAGGCATGATGTCTGCAACTTACTCTCAATGGTTCAGAAAAAGTGTGTTGGTGGAGGAGAGGCCAAGGTTAAAAGCAAATGAGGCAAAATGTTAACATTCTTAAAATTTTCTTTTGTGAGTTTGAAATTACATCAAGAGAAAGTTATAAAACTAAAGAGGCCAATGATAAAAACGCACTAAATAAAATTTAACTATTTAACAATGTCTTTGTGACTAGACTAGCAGTAGATATGAACTAAAAGCCCACAAGGGAACCCTCCGGTTAAAGAAAGAGGTTGTTCTCAAGTCAAATCTGAGAGAATTAGATGCTCTTAGACCAAGCTCCACAAACCAGCAACAAGGAGGCCTAGCCAGCAGCCTAGTGTGTGGAGGCCATGAGCAGGTTGGTGGCAGGATGCAGTCAGGGAAAGAAACCTCCAAGAGTCTGGGTGGGAGGCCAGAAAGCCAGCTCCAGACTCTGCCCCACCATTTGCTTCCTTCATGGAGCATGAGATCAACAAATCCACTGGTAAGAACTTCCAGAGTGTTTATGGAGAGATGCTCCCTGAAAAGAAACTGGTGATCTGGCCTACTTGTGACTTTGTTTAGATTTCATTTTCTCCTTGAAAGTACTGAAAACCAGGCCACTCATTTGAGCTCAGATTCAATACACTCACTTCACCCACAACCGTTTCATAATCCTGCCAGTTGACAGTGATCATATTCCTGTGAGGACCTTGATTATTACAGAAACCACTAAAGACTAAACAGGGAGTCTAAACACTACCTGTGCCAAAGACAATGCTCCTAGTCACTGCTTCTACTACCAACAAGCAATTCAACAATTACCAGGGAAGCAACCCAACCCCATGTGTTTTGTGGTGACATCAGGAAGCGAAAGCCACATGGTATACCTACACCTGTACACAGTCCCACACCAGACACTGCATACCAGGACTTACCACTGGTCCCTGGAGAATGAGATGAGGAAGTGAATGCCAACAGGGAGCCGAGCCATGGACATCACCACTAACCATGGAGCTTCAGTCACGAAAGAGGATGCTTCATACATGGGCAATTAAATTTTGCTCCGAGTTACCTCTCTATGGCTCCTAGAGCTTATACAGACTGGGAACATGCAGAGATAGTGTTGTGTTGGGTCTTGCGTCCCCTCTTCTTCCAGCAGTGGCTTGACACTCTGCAAGGAGAAGGAGAGGTATCACTGGCAGAAGTCACTATTTAACAGGTATGGTTGTTACCCAGCCTGGGCTGGGGCATTATGACAGAGAGCTCCCACCATGCATGGGTGTGACCACGTGGAGGCAGTACCTACCCCTGAGGCAGTTTATTCAAAGTAAATTGAAATGAATTTCATATCATGTTTTGATGAAATATTAAAGGGACCACAGATGCCATCTGTGTCTGGAAGGCACAACCCATTCACTCTTAACTGGGACCTACTATAGAAGTAGAGTTAATGTTCATATGAAACCAAGTATGTATGTGCTCCGCAGTTATGCCATCTGCTCTGTTATAGAGCATGCCAGGTCAACTGGATATGCTCAATCCTCCCCATGTGGACCAGGCCAGCTTTGATCCACAAAGAGAAGTGCAGGCCTGTCCAAGATGACAGGTTGTCAAGCCAATCACTTCACTGTAGCTTTTCAATTTGAATCTAAACCTATGTAATATGGTGGGAGCTGACTTCACCTCCCTGCTTCTTCCTTTTTTCATCTCTTGTGGGTCACCACAGAGGTCACAGAAGATCACCAAGTCAAAGATGAGGCACAGTTAGGAATAGGTAGGGAGGCCTGAGAGCTGAAAGGCCCCCAGCTCCCCAGACCAGCCTTGCCTCCCTTTCTGCATTTGTGACAAAAACTCCATGGACCAACTTTACATAACACAGTGCACAGTAGCCCTGTACACACTTCAACATGGATTTTCTATCTTAATGTTTATAGAATAGTCCAGGTTGTATTAATATTTCTTTAAGAAAAGAAAGTTATTTTGAGTAAAAATCAATCTGGATTTAAAGACATTAAAATGTATTTAATGTCTTTAAATAACCTGCTTTTGAATAAGTAATAGAAAACACCTTTCATTCAAATTTATTGTTGTTAGATGCCTGAGTCGATTCCAACTCATAGCAACCCTATGTATAAACAGAATGAACCATTGCTCAGCCCTGGTGAGGTCACTGTGTCTTCTAAAACAGAATCAGTGTCAGCACACTCTAACCCTCGTTTCAGAGTGAGCTTGCAAAAAATGCACCTTCTTCAATGATCTTCCTTTGCATGACTTTTAGGGGGGAAAAAAAAAAAATCAAAGTCTTTGACAGGCTTTCATCCCAGAGCAAATCCAGCTGCCTCATCTCCAGCAGGCTTCTCCTCATGGAGTGCTGAGTGGTGGAGGCCCACTTGTTCCAGCCAGGAAAACAACTACCTGTGCCCCATGAGGCACCTCAGCTCCTCCTAGATCTTAATAAATACTATTCATTTCATATCAATGCATCACAACTGACCTTAGGCTCCTAAGTTTAGCTGTGTTACTTCACCTTTCTGCTTTCCTCACCTTCTCTGGCTGAAAAATGGGGATGAAAGTACCTATATTGACCCTGCTACAAGTGGAGAGTCAATGAAAACAGGGAAGGCCCTCAACAAGATGGATTGACACAGTGGCTGCAACAATGGGCTCAGGCATAGCAAGGATCGTGAGGCTGGCACAGACCAGGCAGTGTTTTGTTCTGTTGGAGATAGGGTCACGAGAGTCGGAGATAACTGGACAGCACTTAACAACACACCTCCCACCAGCCAGTCCAACCCCTCCACAGAAAGGGCAGCAGTACCGGAGCAAGTCACTTGGCTTTGGCATATAGCCAAGCACATAAAAAGAAAATATCTTTTTTTTTTTTTCCCCTTAAACCACTTTTTATAGGTGCCCCTTGAACTTACAAACCCACTGAGGGAAAGTATCAACATGGCCACCTTCACACTCCTGTCAAAGGTGGCAATAAATAGCCTATGGAGTACCTCCAAGAAAACGTGGGAAACACGAATTTTATACCTATCTCCTCAAAGGGCACATACTGGTCAACTGTACAAAGCTAGACAGTGCAAGTAGTTTGAGTCTGACTTCTAACTTAAATGTTGGCTGTTGGAAAACATCCAGTGACTCCATGGAAGAAAGGCTTCCATAAAGATTACAGCCAAGAAAACCCTATGAAGCACATAGCGTCACCATTAGTCAGTGGCCAACTTGCCAGCAGCCAACTCAACTCAATGGCACATAACAACAAAAGTTCACTGTAGAAAGGGGATTAACTTGAGCAAATAAACATCCTCAAACCCCACCCTCAGACCTCAGACTTGGTGCTCTGTGCACCTAGAATATTTCCAAATGCTCCATGTAGATTCATTGTACTGAGACTAAAAACAAACAATAGCAAAATGAGGTGATAAAGAAAACAACATTCCAGGTCTGAGCCGCCACCATAAATAATCAAATCAGCCCCTTGTGCATTTTAAATAATCTACTTAAAGGCAAAAAATGGTTAGGGTATGTCTCATTTTAAAGGCAAAGATGGATGAGAATTGCATCTCCCCCCACCCCCCAAAAAAAGTTTTCATATATTTTTCTTTTTTATCAAGAGATGGAGACAATCTCCTTTCCAGAGTCAACACTTTTTATAGTTCTGTGCTTTTAAAGAACATTAAAGATTAATGGAAATGGCCCTCCCTTTCCTTTGGCTTAAGCACAAAAAGGAATCTGAGTTCTGTTCATACCATTATCCATCCCCTAAATCAGAACACCAAAGGTGGTCTGCACAAAAAGGCTCTTATGTCCACTTACACGTGGTTTGCCGCGATTTAAGAATCTTGGGTTTTTAAAGCTTGATTGAAAGGGATATTGATGAGGGGGGATGCTAATACAATTACCAACTCAATTAAACTTCAGTCCATTTAAGTTTCAGAGTAGGGGGCACCTTCCTGGCAGTCAAATTTAGGAGTTAAAGAGAGCAAAATTTGGAATTTCTCTTTAGAAATGCAAGCCTGGGGAGGGGGAGGCGTGGGCAGTAAGGGACTTTATAAGCATCCTCCATTCAAAGGCAAATCCTCAACTCTTCTCTCCTTTAGCCACCGAGACTCGCATCAGCAGCAGTGAGAGCTGGGAGTGGGATGAGAGGCAAAAGAGCCAGAGACTAGTGGGCAGGCGTTCTAAGTGCCATAAGCCCAGGAGGTTGCAGTCATCACGGGTTGTCCAGAAGGGTCACGGGCGCAGGAACCAGCTGCTCTACAAACAAACCACCATCCAGAGGCCCGGGCGTTGGAGCTCCAACCGGTGGAGATCTTTTGTACTGGCCCCTTCCCGGGCTTCGGGTCACGGGAGTGGGTAAGTCTCAGCCGGAACGCCTACGTCCCCATCGCGCGGTAGATAATGCGCGGAGTGACCTTTCGCCTGATCCCCAGAACCCCGCTATCTCCGCGGCAGAGGAGGGAACTCGGCCGGGACAGTTAGGCTCACTTCAGCCCTAGGTTCTAGTGAAGCCACGGGCCCTCTGCCCCCACTTCCCCGGAGCCCTCGCGGCGCCGGGTTCGAGAACGCCCGGGATTGTTGCGTAGGGCCACTCTTCTATGTCCTTATTTCTGGTCTTTCCTCAATGAAAAGAGCGCTGGAGACCTTACTGCTCCCCCCACCACCAGAAAAAGGTGAAGGGCGGAAGATAACCTGGAGAGGGCAGGGAGCCCGCCGCCTAGCTCCAGGCGGGCGCAGTACCCCAGTCCTCCCGGGTCCCCGTTCCCGGTTCTCCGGGGTGGCAGGTGCCGCGAGTTGCGGCTACAGGGTCCCGGCAGCCGGCAGGTGCGGGAAAGGGTCCCTCACAGCCCTCCACCTCCCGGTCCCAGTGTCTCACCTGCGCCGCCGAGGCCCGTGCGTCCCCGCGTCCTAGTACGGCCGCCGCGGACGCTTCCTGCTCGCGACTTCCTGGAGCGCCACTCCGCCGCTACACTTTCACTTTTCCCCGGGTCTCCGGGCCGGGCAGCAGTGGCGACCGGCCGAGCGGGCCCTCCCCGCCCCCTCAGGCCCTGGGCGAACGCCCCCCTCCCGCGCCCCGCCCGCGGGCCACCCAGGGATCCCCGCAGCCAGCACCTGCCGACCGGCAGCCCGAGCTCCCGCGAGCTCACAGCACTTACTGCATGTTCTCTACAGCACACGGAGCCTCCCCAGGGCTCGCAGCGCGTCGCCCCTTTGTTTTAAAGGCAGGTCGTATACTACAGCGGCAAGACCGACACTCCCCTGGGAAGGGCCGGCGCCACCGTGCGTGGCGCGGAGGGACCTGTCCTTGGCCTTCTGGGTTTGCATTCCCATTGTATTGGGCCAAGGGTCAGAATCGCTAAGCTCAAATCTTTTATTAAATAGTGAACGCGGGGCGCGGAGATGCGTCTGGGCTGAGCCATCTTTGACCACACCTGGTACGTGTGTGACACTCACCCCCTTAGGAAAATCCCGGGCTGGCTCCATCACCTGCATCAGGTGCACCCTCAGTGGTGCCTGGCAGGCAGTTTTCACTTTACCCAGATCAATTGTTTTCTGAATCCCGCTCATTTCTTGCCAAAATTTGACCTTGAAAAGACCAGAGAAGGGCCTGATTATTTTCCTAGGGGTGCCATAGACAACCCATTGTGGACAAGGTGCCAGGTCAACTTGTCCCTGAAGGGGACCTCTCTGGAAGACCAAAACCAAACTCACTGCCTTGTGTAGGATCTGACCCATAGCGATCCCTCCTTGGGTTTCTGAGGCGGTATCACTACTAAGGAAATAGATTGCCCAATCTTCCTTTCCAGGAGTGGCTGGTGGGTTTGAACTGCCAGGTTTCTGGTTAGCAGTCAAATGCCTTAGGTGCTATGGCACCAGAGCTCCTTGGAAGAGCAAAGTGAGACAGAAACACATTTTGCAAAGGAAATTCCAGGAAGAAGCCTGCCTACTTTACTACAATGCTTAAGGCTAAAACCAGTCAAGGGC